TCCAAGCTTGCCGTTTGCCAGGCCTAAAACGCTCCAAACCCTCCAAACCCCTAAAACCCCTAAAAGGCCAGTTCAATGGCTTCTTATAGGCTTCCAGCGCCCACATCCATGGCTTTTTATGGGCGTCCAAGCTTGCCGTTTGCCAGGCCTAAAACGCTCCAAACCCTCCAAACCCCTAAAACCCCTAAAAGGCCACTTCAATGGCTTCTTATAGGCTTCCAGCGCCCACATCCATGGCTTTTTATGGGCGTCCAAGATTGCCGTTTGCCAGGCCTAAAACGCTCCAAACCCTCCAAACCCCTAAAACCCCTAAAAGGCCACTTCAATGGCTTCTTATGGGCTTCCAGCGCAGGCAAAAGCCCACATCCATGGCTTTTTATGGGCGTCCAAGCTTGCCGTTTGCCAGGCCTAGAACCCTCCAAACCCGTAAAACCCCTAAAAGGCCACTTCAATGGCTTCTTATGGGCTTCCAGCGCCCACATCCATGGCTTTTTATGGGCGTCCAAGATTGCCGTTTGCCAGGCCTAAAACGCTCCAAACCCTCCAAACCCCTAAAACCCCTAAAAGGCCACTTCAATGGCTTCTTATGGGCTTCCAGCGCAGGCAAAAGCCCACATCCATGGCTTTTTATGGGCGTCCAAGCTTGCCGTTTGCGAGGCCTAAAACCCTCCAAACCCCTAAAACCCCTAAAACCCTAAACCCTAAAACCCCTAAAAGGCCACTTCGGCGGTCCAGCGTGCCATTGGCCAGGCATTCGCAACCAACAGGCATCAGGCATCAGGCGTTCAAGCCTGCCGTTTACTACTTTTTTCCTTCACAACGCCGTCCTTGACAGAAAACTTGTTCCCACACACCGTTCGATGGTCAATTTGCCCTGTCTTCACGTCACTGGCCACATTCCCTTTGCAAGCGGGGCAAACGTACACATACGCTTTTTCCTTCACAACGCCATCCTTCACAGAAAACTTGTTCCCACACACCGTTCGATGGTCGATTTGCCCTGTCTTCACGTCACTGGCCACATTCCCTTTGCAAGCGGGGCAAACGTAAACATACGCTTTTTCCTGCACAACGCCATCCTGCACAGAAAACTGCTTCCCACACACTGTTCGATGGTCTATTTTCCCTGTCTTCACATCACTGGCCACATTCCCTTTGCAAGCGGGGCAAACGTAAACATACGCTTTTTCCTGCACAACGCCATCCTTCACAGAAAACTGCTTCCCACACACTGTTCGATGGTTTATTTTCCCTGTCTTCACGTCACTGGCCACATTCCCTTTGCACGCGGGGCAAACGTACACATACCCTTTCGCAACGACCTGCGCGTCCCACACCTGGAAACGGTTACCATTGGGTCCATTGATCCGCATTAACTGGCATTTCTGTCTGTCCAGTTGCGAAAATAATGTGAACACATGATATATTATCTATCCATAACATTCAACATATTGAAAAAAAAACATAATTATGAAATACTACAAGTGAGTGGAACCATCCAAGATCAATGTGTTCGACTTTGCTTCCGTCCTCAACTTGACGATAACTGTTTCTGCGGCATCGCAGCCGAAGCGATTTTATCAGTGCTTTGGAAAGGGGCCATGGTGAAAGTCACCCTTAGACATCGATGAAAAAATCGTGAAATATGGATGTGTCTCAAAATAGGGTATATTCCCAATGAAATAGCCATTTAATAGGGATAATGATCATTAACCATTGGGTTTAAGGGTACACTATTTTCAGACACACCCATATTGGTGTGTTTCCCCCCAAAAAAATGATGAAAAATGAATCAAATGAATCAAACGTTGCTCAAGAAACAAACCAAGGCAGATAGTTTTTTGGATTTCAGATGATTGTGCCATTGATATCAGGGATTTCCGTGTGTGTTTATTGAATGTTGTTTTCATGCATACTTTTGGTGCGCCTTTTCCTTGCGAAGACTACGTCTCACGCAAGGGAGGCAAGACACACCATCCCCAAAATATGAAAACAACATTCCATGAACAGCCACGGATATCCCTGATATCAATACATTGCATTCATTGTCCCACAATCTATGTTTACGCTACCTAGACTTTCAAAAACTCTACAATATTTGCACGATTGGTGCGCATGTGGGCCGTTTTGACCTTTCCCCGCCGCTCCGCCCTGAAAAGGGGGTCGGCGGCACCAGGGCGTTAGCCCATTCTATATATCCCTAAGGCAACTTCCGCCCCGCCTCGTGCGGGTACTACTGGTATCATACATATATATATATACATATACACATAATTTTGATGTTTCATTCATGAGGAATTTGTTTCCCAGGGTGGCCACCCATTGTGGCACAGTTCTTGTCTCTGTCTGTGTGTGTGGTTCTCCTCCGTTCTTGGCTATTCTTCAAGTTTTTAGGCACTTCTTCATTGCTTGTCACAAACTCATGTGTTGGAAAAGCTGGGTTATGATGAAGACATCATCTCTGCAGCTGGGCCTCGCATCAGAGTTGATCTCTCGCACTGCTATCTCCTTAGTACGGAAAGTCATGGATTGCATCTCTCGCATCTCTCTGCATCTTGATGTCAAAAAAGGCACACCAAGCAGATATCTGCATCGTAAAATAGGCATTGCTGCTCACTAACTTCCGAATTTCCCAGCCCAAAGCAAACGCTGGAGAAGTTGAGAAGTCGAGAAGTCTTAGAAACCTGATGCTCTTCACACTCTAATCTTTCGAAGAGCTTAGTCTTATGGCGAGCGGCTCCCATGATTTCATGACCTGCAAGCAGCAGCGACTCGAGGAACTCCAACACATAGACCAAGTGATCTACCTGGCAAATAGACATAGATTCTGCGTTGATACTGCGTTTTCTGTTCATTTTGCAACGAAACATGTTGTTGTAGCAACAGTCCCTTGAAGCCTGCTGTCTGATATCATTGAAAAGAAGCTGGTCTCAGTGTTTTGGTGGACTTTGTGGCCATGCTACTGACAAATCTGTGTTCAGGACCTTGCCTTCAGTTGTGAATTCAGCGGTTTGTTCTCCTCCATTGCTGGAGCAAGAAGTTGACTGCAAAAGGTTGCAACAACTTTGCAAAAACTGTTCAATTGCAAACTAATTTCGTACTGGCCAGTTTAGCAGTCAACAGTGTCGTGATGAAACTAGGAAGCAGAAGCATACATCTGCGACACAAAGCACCCTTCCGCTATGTTGTACCCTGTTCTGTCATGCTCTTCAGTCATACCGTCGGCTATGCCTGAAAGTCCCAAACAGCTTCGAAGGGTTGAGCCACAGCACGACGAAGAGGTTCTGGTGCGCCAGCTGTGAGCCTTGCTAAGGCCTTCAGAGAGGCCGATGCACAAAGAATATAAGGGTATCTATATATATATATACAAATAAGTGGGGCATTGGCTCAGAAAAGGGTGACAAGGCAGAAGTCCAGAAATTATTTCAGAACCCAGCGTGTCTCAAGATTGAAGTCTTGCTTTTGCTGAGCCTTCACCAGCTCTCGCATGTAGCAATGCAGCTGAAGATCTGTAGGCAGATTGTTCTGCACTAACAATGATTTCACCTGCAATGCTGCAGAGACCCAGAGAAAGATTGCCTCAACAGAAAAATCTACCATTTACCGAACAAGCGTGGCTACAAGCAGCACATGTTCTGTATCTTTCAACACCAAGCTGGTTTGCAGATGGTCTTGAAGATGTTGCTATCGCTCGGAAGGTGGATTTCCTTACTACTTCTGCGATCTCAAGAATCTCGTATCTGAAAGCACTCAGATTGTTTCTCACTCCATGGTTGCACACGAAAAATATGAAAGGAAGCTTTAAAGAAAAAACACTTCAAAAAGGCTAAACGCGCAACTGTACAACAATGTCCCTCCTGGACCAGATCCAACCCAACCCTACGCCTGCGCAGCTGCTTGACGCACGTAGTCTTGCAAACGGCGCAAGCCTGACTGTGATGTGATAGGTTTCTGCCTCCAGATTAAAACTGCGTGAAACCGTTAAACAGTGTTAAACTGCTTCAACCATCAAAAATTGACAAACGCATCTGCTCGTGCTATGGCTAAAATGTCTATTTAGCATGAACGAATGGTCCTCGTAGAGGAGTCAAAGGGCCCCATCATTTCCCACAACAGAACATAGACCTTTGGCATCCTTTGGCAACTGGCATGTGATGAAGTTCTCTGAAATTTGGCATCATCTGTCCTCCTGCTCCTCCTTGTTCACCTGCCGGGCTCATCACCTGTACAAGCCGACAAATCCAGGAGTGCAAATGTTCATTTCTACAGCAACAACTGTCAATCAAGACCTCTATGCCTTAATATGCTTTAGAGGAATGGTTAGGTCACATATTCACGTTTTTGTAGCTGATTTTTGAGTATGGATACGGTGTCCCTCAAAATTATGAATGCAGTGAACTCTGCCAAATGATACTTTGTGGCTTTTGCTGGATCATTAAATAGTGACATTCAAAGAACCAACTATTGACTATTGAAACGAATTCACTGACAGTTGATCACAAGCCAAAAACAGTGAATGGGCAGAATAGGATCTCAGCCGAGCGTCAAGCTAAGCAAGAAAGAATTTAGGAGGAGGACAGAGCACAAAGGCAAATGTCGCAAAGCCATTGCACAACAAATGAGCCGTTTGATTCTGTTGAAGGTTCCTGACCAGGTCGAGCCTTGCCTTGGGAATGAGCTCTGCCAATACTCTGCAGCTGAAGGTCTAAGGAACAGTGGTCATAACTCTCATAACTCAACAAAGGGGCTCAAGCCCAGCGCTTTGGTGATCTGTGTAAGATTCCAAACCAATAGAATCAGCCATTCGAAAAATCTATGGCTTTGCACCTGCTGTTGAGGCATCCCATCCTGTGCGTGAAGTTCCTCATATGGCTGCGGTCACCAATCCTCTTGCAACAGCAACCACGCGTTTTGTGGCAGGCATGCTCAGGTTGAGACTCTTTACTGAATCTTTACTATATATCGAAAGGTCGGTAGAACGCTTGTGCAAAGCATTCATGTTTCTGGAACCCGTTTTCCTCAAGAGTTTCTGAGGCCACCTTTTTGCGAATCTCTACAATGTACATCCCATTTACAAGTCTACACTGCATCTCTGGTCAAGGCAGGTTTGGCTGCGTTTGAGCTCTCCCACAATTGCAGTTGGAAAGCTCTTCAAAAGGCCAACAGGCGAGAACCCTACCGAGCACAGAAAGGACACGAGATGGAGCTTCTTTGCCTCCAGTGCTGAGCTCCGAAAACTGTGAAAACGGATCGTCACCTTTGTCGCTTACAGAAATCAATGGACTGCAGGCAACAATCCGACAAGCATAAGGGAAATCAAACGTTCTACGTAACAAAATCTGGATCTACTGTCCATCCACGTCGATGACGTCGTCCTTGGCCTTGGCCTCCGCCTTGGCATCGCCAGGGGGTGGAGATCCTGCCTCAGCTGCATCACCTGGAGGAGGGCTTCCAGTGTTGGCATAGGCGGCCTGGCCAACCTTCATCAGCTCCTCTTGCAGGTCCTTCGTCATGGTCTTCAGCAGTTCAGTGTCTGGCTCGGCCTCCCCAACCTTGTCCTTCAAGGCCTGCAACTTGGGGTCAATGGTGGCCTTGAGGTCAGCAGGCACTTTTTCACCCAGTTCTTGCAGCTGCTTCTCAGTCTGGTACACCAGGCTCTCTGCATTGTTCTTAGTCTCAACTGCCTCCTTGCGCTTCTCATCCTCTGCAGCGTTGGCCTCGGCATCTTGAACCATCTTCTCGACATCTGTCTTGTCCAGGGTGGAGGAACCAGCGATGGTGATGGTTTGCTCCTTGCCGGTACCACGGTCCTTTGCAGCAACGTTCAAGATACCGTTGGCATCGATATCGAAGGTCACTTCGATCTGGGGAACACCACGAGGAGCAGGAGGCACGCCATCCAGACGGAAAGTGCCAAGGATCTTGTTGTCCTTGGCGAACTGTCGCTCGCCCTGCAGCACCACAATCTCGACGGATGGCTGAGAGTCGGTGGCAGTGGAGAAGACCTGACAAAGGTCCAAACTAGAGATGGACAAGTGCAAAAAAAATGGTCGACTACAGGTGACCTCAAGAAAGTAAGATGAATAAGTGCCTGTGCAACCCTTTGCTTGTCAACAAGAATAGTGACCCACATGTTTTTTCTTTCTCCACCGGTATGTGATGATATTGCACGTTTGTTTGGTATCCGTGCGGCCTCCGTCTTTTTGGTTGGGATGGTGGTGTTCCTGGGGATCAACACGGTGGCCACACCACCAAGAGTCTCGACACCCAAAGAAAGAGGCGTCACGTCCAGCAGCACAATGTCCTTCACATCTCCTGCCAGCACACCAGCCTGGACGGCAGCACCGACTGCCACAACCTCATCAGGGTTCACGCTCTGATTGGGTTTCTTCCCGCCAACCAACTCTGAAGCCAAATCCTGGATTGCTGGGATGCGTGTGGAGCCACCGACCAAGACGATTTCATCGATGTCGCTCGGACTAAGTTTTGCATCCTTCATAGCGCTCTCCACTGGCGTCCTGCGTGCAACTTCCCTCTGCAAATCACCATGCACATCATTGTCTTCCTTATTCATGTTTCATCTCCACAAGAAACAAGGAAAAGGATCATGTGCAAAGTCTTAAACCTCGTTCTGTATCCGAGCAGTCCCACTTTCATCACTTTTCTTATCATTCAATCATTCTCGTTTCAACACAAAAAGATGGGCCCCTCTTTTTTGTTACCTTGCGTCTCTTTTTTTTAACCTTACCTCTTTTTTTTAACCTTGAAAAACTCTTTTTTCTAACCTTGCCTCGCTACCTCTCCTTTCTGACCTTGCCACCTCTTTTTTCTAACCTTGCACCTCTTTTTTCAAACCTAGTTTGCAATTTTGCCCAGCAGTCCCAGCTCCAGGGATTGAGCCCAGAGCAAGGTTAAAGTGCGGCTGGCTTGGAGATTCTGGAAGGTTCTAGACGGTTCCGGGAGATTTGGGAGATTCTGTGCCTATTTGTCCTATCTGCTCTATCTATCCTAGTTTTCCTGTTTGTCCGAACTGTCGTGTTTGTCTTATCTGTCCAATCTATCCTCACCTATCCAACCCTGACCTATATCTATCCAATGTTTACATCCAACGTCCGAGACCATTTCCTCGACCTTTCCTATCCTAGCCTATCCTATCTTATCACATCCTTTCCAATGCAATTCTATCCTATCCATCCTATTCAGTCCTGTCCCATTCTGTCCTATCGCATCCCATCCCGGCTACCTATCTACCTATCTACCTATCTATATCTACCTATCTATATCTACCTATCTATAGGTTAAGAAAGAGTAGGGCAAGGTCCAAAAAAAGTGATCCAAGGTCAAAAAAAAGTGATCCAAGGTCGAAAAAAAGAGGTAAGGTTAAAAAAAAGTGATCCAAGGTCAAAAAAATGACTTGCCCAAAAAAAAACTGGTCCCAAACAGGCCTGCATCGAGTGATGAGCTCGCTTGCAAGCTGCTCAAACTTTGCGCGGGATAAGCTCTCTTCGATGTGCTTGGGACCAGAGGCATCAGCCGTGATGAAAGGCAAAGAGATCTTGGCCTTCAAATCCGATCGGATTCAATCTACACAATCTACACTCTCTCAATTGAACAGATTGGTTTTCTCAGTTTTCTCTTAGTTTCCTTACAGTCTTTTCTTACAGTCTCAGACATCATTGTTCCAAAGTACATGTGGCAATATGTGAATCATGAGTCGTCCCGGCCTCTTGCACGCCTGAAAGCTCCATCTTAGCCTTCTCAGCTGCCTCCGTCAAACGCTGCAGTGCTTGCCGGTCCTTCAGGAGGTCGATGCCCTCAGGGTAACAAACTTCGGACAGAAGTTGTGCAATTGAGCCACAGAAAAATGGCCACAGGCTCCTCTGTGTAACACAAAACCCGTTCCCAAACCTTTTTTGCTTGTCCTCAATTTAAAACACATGGCACCGTGACAACTTCCTTGCCTCAGTCTTCTGAAAGTCCTCAGCCAGCCAGTCGACAATGACCTTGTCAAAGTCGTCACCACCCAGGTGAGTGTCACCGTGTGTGGCCAACACTTCGCACACACCATCACCAACCTCCAAAACGGAGACGTCAAAGGTGCCACCTCCCAAGTCAAACACCAAAATGGTCTCGTTGTTCTTCTTCTCCAGACCATATGCCAAAGATGCAGCGGTTGGCTCGTTCACGATACGCAGCACATCCAACCCAGCAATCTTTCCGGCATCCTTCGTGGCCTGAACCAGCAATGCATTCCAGAGCTTGGCAGTGATGCAATTTAAGAAGTTGAGTACTTGGCTTCAAGAGTGGATTGTCTCTACTAAACCTTGCTGGAGATGCAAAACAGGAGCTGTCGGTGGATCCGGACCACTCATTTCATGCTTGGACATGTTGGGCTGCAAAAGGTAGTTTGCTCTTGATAGTATGCCCGTCTTAGTCTTCTTTCTCACCATGTCCCAAAGTGTACTTTACAATCCAGCCTGACGCTGGGAGTCATTGAAGTAGGCTGGGACGGTCACGACAGCCTACTATGATGTTTCGCGAAGGAAGCCGGCAGACGCACATGTACAATTTCTTATCATGCAGACTGGTGTAGCAACACATTATGACAAGTATGACTCTTGTGATAATCATCGTAATCATAATTGCCGGCCTTTGTTTCTATCATCATTGTCAGTGTTGGTGTGTGTGTGTGTCTTGTATACTAATCTATAAAGTACATTACACAAAGAGTAGAAATTTCAGGTGAAGAGGGAGGGCGACACAGAAAGAGAGAGAGAGAGAGAGACAGACAGACAGACAGACAGGACAGGCAGGCAGGCAGGCAGGCAGGCAGACAGACAGACAGACAGGACGCAGAGACAAAGATGCTGAGAGACAAAGATGCTGAGAGACAAAGAACATGATGATACAAAGACAACTCGTTGAGAAAAAATGGGAAATCTAAAAGTCAATGGGAGGTGCAGCGATTGTCAATACTGAGCCTGCCAAAATATGCAGATCGCTGCTGCGCCAATGAGTTACCAGCACCAAGCCATCATATCAGACCCGTCTGAATTCACACGCGAGCAAGACCCGCACCCTTGGCAGACCTGTAGAAAACAGCTACCAGCATATTTGTCAAATACACTCAAATGACACTCAAAGCACCGGCCTTCTGGACCGTGGCGCTGAGGTACTTGCCGGCGTCTGCGCTCAGCTTTCGCAGCACCTGTGCAGAGACCTCCTCCGGTGCAAACTTCTTGCTCATCACGGGGCAGTCAATCTTCACTTTTTGGCCCTCGAAATCCACCTTGTATGACACCTCCTTCAGCTCTTCCTCCACTTCATTGGGTTGGCGGCCAACAAAGCGCTTCACTGAGTAGAAGGTGTTCTCTGGATTCACCACGGCCTGCACGAAAAACTCTAGCTGTCACTGTCAGAGAAAATGAAAAAAATGAAAACTGCGAAATTTCAAACAGTCTCTGGCTGAAAGCTAATTCTTTGCTCAGATCGTGAATGACATGCTGACAATACCATCCTGACGCTTCGCAATCTGGCCCACCAAAAGTTCGCCACTCTTGGAGTAGGCCACAACACTGGGTGTGGTTCGTGCTCCCTCTGCGTTTGGGATCACGGTTGGAGAACCAGCCTGAAAACTGCAAGAGTTCCAGACCACCAGCTACAAAATCAGCGAGGCTGCTCAACGTTCTCCGCACCAACAAAAACAACACGTCTCTCTTGTCACTGTAAGTGCAGCTGGGAAATGAAAACAGATGTGAATCAAATGATCCGTTGTCAAGCTCAAATCACTAACATCTAAACCCAAAAAAACGGACAAAAACAAGATTTATATAATACGCCACACCTACCCACACACGTCCACAAATGTCCACACATGTTGAGTAGGCTCCAGAACCTCCATGGCAGCCACAGCAGAGTTGGTGGTGCCAAGGTCAATGCCAACCACCTTCTCACCAGGGGCCACTTCAGCACGGGCAGTGACCTTAGACTAGAGAGGGATAGGGTGGACGAAAGGTAGGTATTTCATCTAGGAAATTGAAGTGCACAAATTCTGAATCTTTCAGTGTGGGCGTACGGCATTTCAACTCACCGAGAAAAACCTGAGCAAAATGATATTCTCCGATTTAGTGCGACAAAAAATCGCTACCCGAGACCCGCTACGTAATTTACATCTTGCAATGCCGTATCTTGCTGGCACAAAGTACGCCATGTCTCGTGTTTTTTTGCACAAGGTGGGTGCTGCGATGCATCGCACAGCCTTGAGACGGAAAACCGGGATTATGATGAAGATGAAGATGAACTACTGATGATGATGATGATGATGATGAGGATGAGGATGAGGATGAGGATGAGGAATCGGAGGAGGAGGAGGAGGAGGAGGAGAATGAGGATGAGGATGAGGATGAGGATGAGGATGCGGATGAGGATGCGGATGAGGATGGGGATGAGGATGAGGATGAGGATGAGGATGAGGATGAGGATGATGAGGATGATGATGATGATGATGATGAAGATCTAGATCTAGATCAAGATCAAGATCAAGATCAAGATCAAGAGAAAGAGAAAGAGAAAGAGAAAATGAAGATGAAGATAAAGATAAAGATAAAGATAAAGATAACGATGCAAATTCCGTCGAGGACGGGGGGACATTGTAACAACAAAAACATATGCTAGTCCTTCCACTCACAGTCATATGTTGCTCTTCTATACGTTTTCAAAACGCTTTTTGTCTGCGGGGTAGAAGTTGCTGAACATGCTGGCAGAACTTGCATTCAGGCTTATGTTTCTGCATCATTGTGGGAGCCTACCTGTGCTGTATAAAGCGCGGACATTGCGCCCACCCAAGCCTCTGGGGTGGACATAATTCAAGTTTGGTGGATTTGGTTTCCAAACGGGTGTAGAACATCCTGAAAGGATGCTAAGGGAAATGTAGCAAGTGATTGGCGACACAGGAGGGCAATAAAGAACGTTTGTTTAAATCTACTTGAAAACTTGATGAAAAAAAAGAGTCTAGAGAAGCGTTGCACCAATGCAACACCATTCTAGACAAATCAAATGTGAAAAGATATTGAAACAAGAGCACCAGCAGTGCCATTACGACGCCATACGGTACGTAGCAAAATCATCGGTATGAACCTTGCAAACAGTAATTGGGAGGAGATAGATTCAAAGGGGCATTGAAATAAATTGAATCAAAAACGAAACTGAAGAAGAGGCTTGCCGAACAAATAATATGAAAGAACATATGAAATTGTAAAGAAATTGTGAAGCCAGCAACGTCAAAAAAAGGAAGAGGGGAAGAGGGGAAGTGTGAAGGAGTTCTACGGACAACAAGCCAAAGAAAGCATCATAAATAAACGAAACTGGTGATGAAATAATGCTTGGAGCCAATTATTGGGAGAAGAGCTCGGAACACTGCTGGAATGAGCGAACGGGATGAAAGAAATTTCACGGACCAGGGATGAATCGAATGGGGGAGGGCCCCCCCGCAAAAGGAAAACGAAGACTAAAGAAGGAAAAATTCGGATTGGAGGGAGACCCAGCCACCAGTACTAAAGTACATTGAACTCAGGTACTACATTGACATCACCTCCTGGGGTAAAGAATCTCCAGGAAGTTTTGCCAACTGGGCAGGAGAGGTTATCCGGTCCCCAAAAAAAACTAGAGATGCAATGAGGAGCTGTGGGGATGAAATCATGGGGCCAGGGAAAACACACAGAACTGTCTCAATGTAGCCTCTTCTTGACCCGACTCAAATGATAAAACATGATAATTATTTTTAAAAAAAACGTGTGTATCATACTGTATCGTTTGGTCCTCAAGGACTTGCAGGACACTCTGCCAGACTTGTCTATGAAGAACATTTGCATTTTCTCCAAGACACTCTGGAGCTGCGCCTCCTTGAGAGCGCAGCACCTGCCACCGCACCCATCGCACAGGTGGTCATGGCAAAGGTGTGGCCTTGGGTGGCACTGCAACCGAAATGATGCAAGGCCGAAAGGCTTTGACCATCATCGATGTACCAAAAACTGTCGAAATAACCATGTGTAATCAAATGTAATCAGATGACATCAAGTGTGTCTTGTTTGCCGGCAACTGACTGATCAATGAAGCGAGCAAACAACATTGAAAGGGGTCCGGCAGGAAGGCATGGTCCGAGCACTACGAGCCAACCATATGATCTTCCATGATGACTCTAAGGAGACCACCTGATTCTGCCTGAGTCAAAGAAAGCATTACCAATATATGGAAAATAAAAAATGTTCCCAACACCAACCAGGCATATGTGCGTACGGCAAAGGTCCAGCATGCTCCATTGCATACAGATTTCCAGAAAGATTTCTTGCTATATGTCGTATAATACATGGAATTCACAGCTCAATGCATCGGGATGTCCATATTTACAGGATTTGAAGATGAATTTCTATACCTTAGATTTGAATTAGAATTGATCCAAAATAAACTTTGAAGTATTCAGACAATTTCAGACAATCGGCACATCTCTGTCACATGTCTGGTCTTGTCACTGGAGTCCAGCCTTCGCTCCACTGGCCACATCAGCACTAGGTCCGTGGTGCACAGGTACTCGATGGCTACCGTCTGGCCGCAATCTTGGTGAAATCTGTACAAGAAAAACAAGACATCTCAAGAAAAGTATTGAATCATCATCAAGTTAATCTGCTAGAAATCTGAACGAAGCTCGGTATCAGCAGTGATACCTTGAAAGCTTGAAACGGGCTGAAACCGGTTGAAACCTTCTGCCATATACTCAGACTTTGGCAAGTGCGATCAGTCATCTCTGTCTTGTTTGTCCATGATGCGTGATCACATGTGATCAGTACCCTGTCTGTATCAATGGTATGAAGGATGTGAAATGATGTGAATATCTTCCTCCGTGCAATATCCTGACCAACATTTGTCTCGTCAATTCCAAGGCAATGAAGAAGCAGCCAAGCATGTTACGCATGTTCAATTGCACAAAAATCTTACAATGACGGTGAGATTGATGGCCATACAAATGCCTCTCTTGAGAAACTTCTTTGCCGCAACTCCTTTCCACCACTTACAGTGACTTACAGCTTCTGATTTTTTTTTCTGGTTGTGGGCATCTTCAGATCTTGCCCCCGTGCACCTGGTGTTGCCACGAAAGCCAGCCTGCAATGCAACAACAATTGCAATGCTTCCCGCCACAAACACCAAAATGGAGTGCAAAGCAAAATATGAGAAGACTCTGAGTGGAAGAAGCCACTGGAAATACTGTCTACAAGAAACACCGTCACCTCCTGTCTAGAGAGTGTTTTTGCAGAAATGTGTGTGTGTGTGTTACAACTACCTTGCACAATCTCTCCGTGAAGCACTGTAATGTTGGTTGCGCTGTAAAAGGATCGTAACACGCCTCTATGGGCATTGTTCGACGCTGTTTAGAGCTCGGATTGCACAGGGCTCTAAAACTGATCCTTCTAGACTTTCGAAGTACATGGATTGATGTTGGCAAGTATATGCAAGTATGCCATGGGCAAATCTTCCAGGACAGCATGCAGGACTGCAGGTCATGCTTGAGAGCAGATTCAGAAAGACCAAAGCCATTCCGAATGTGCTTCACTCTTCAAAACAGAGGATCTGGGATCGGCTGTGAAGCCAATAGGCATAGCAATTTTGAATCTTGATGAATCTTGAAGAAGCTTTAAGCAGATGCGCAAAGAAACCCTCCTCGTCTTCCAAGACTTCTTCTGCTCAGGCGCAGACCCACCAAGACCAATACAAGCAGCGGCACTCGTCTTCTTAACCATCACAAAATCCAACAGTGTTGCCTTTGTGAAGGATGAAATGAAAGCAACATGCCAAATTTTTGTGATATGTGTTTTATATTTGTCAAAAACCCTTCTGGTGGGGTCATTCGTGTCCTTGTGTCCTTGACCACTCTCCAAACACACTTGACTCGACTTCTTGGTCTCCAACCTGGTACTGAACTGCGCAGAGAGCAGCTAAAAAGGTTTGAGCTCACAGTCCGTAGGAGCAAAAGTAATCCCAAGAAACAAGACTTCGCAAAATGAAGCCTGTGTAGGATGGATATTTTGATGGATCATGAATCATTTCTCTAGGTTCTGCAGAACTAATTCAAACTGATTCCTTTGCAGTACAGCACAATCATTCCTGCCCAACCTGTGCACTGAGTGTGCTGGGTGCTCAAAATGCCCTCTTTGTGATCCTATGGTGCATTCTGGTCTGGCTGCACAGCCACTGTATCTGGAAGCCTCTGGCTTGGGTGAGACTCCACAACTTGAAGTCTGGAGAGATCACGCGCGAAGTCATTGAACTTGGCTTTGCCCCCTTTGGGCAAAAGTTGGAGAAAGTCCGAGAAAATTCAAGAGTTTCAATGAGCTGTCCAAGAACGGCTCCCTTGAAAACAGTTTCTCTCTTGCCTGATTTATGCTAGAATGCAAAAAAACAATTTTATAGTCATAATATTGATTGACCGAAGTAGGGACTTTGGCACTGTCGAGCAAGACCTTCCCCTTCTATTGTGTATTCATTACAAACAAATATGTAGCATCACAGGGCAGCCTGGGAATAAACCACAAGTGTGGAAATGTTCAAACTAGTGAAAAGTTGCATATGGTCTCTGCTCTCAAGTCTGGATCTACTGTCCATCCACGTCGATGACGTCGTCCTTGGCCTTGGCCTCCGCCTTGGCATCGCCAGGGGGTGGAGATCCTGCCTCAGCTGCATCACCTGGAGGAGGGCTTCCAGTGTTGGCATAGGCGGCCTGGCCAACCTTCATCAGCTCCTCTTGCAGGTCCTTCGTCATGGTCTTCAGCAGTTCAGTGTCTGGCTCGGCCTCCCCAACCTTGTCCTTCAAGGCCTGCAACTTGGGGTCAATGGTGGCCTTGAGGTCAGCAGGCACTTTTTCACCCAGTTCTTGCAGCTGCTTCTCAGTCTGGTACACCAGGCTCTCTGCATTGTTCTTAGTCTCAACTGCCTCCTTGCGCTTCTCATCCTCTGCAGCGTTGGCCTCGGCATCTTGAACCATCTTCTCGACATCTGTCTTGTCCAGGGTGGAGGAACCAGCGATGGTGATGGTTTGCTCCTTGCCGGTACCACGGTCCTTTGCAGCAACGTTCAAGATACCGTTGGCATCGATATCGAAGGTCACTTCGATCTGGGGAACACCACGAGGAGCAGGAGGCACGCCATCCAGACGGAAAGTGCCAAGGATCTTGTTGTCCTTGGCGAACTGTCGCTCGCCCTGCAGCACCACAATCTCGACGGATGGCTGAGAGTCGGTGGCAGTGGAGAAGACCTGACAAAGGTCCAAACTAGAGATGGACAAGTGCAAAAAAAATGGTCGACTACAGGTGACCTCAAGAAAGTAAGATGAATAAGTGCCTGTGCAACCCTTTGCTTGTCAACAAGAATAGTGACCCACATGTTTTTTCTTTCTCCACCGGTATGTGATGATATTGCACGTTTGTTTGGTATCCGTGCGGCCTCCGTCTTTTTGGTTGGGATGGTGGTGTTCCTGGGGATCAACACGGTGGCCACACCACCAAGAGTCTCGACACCCAAAGAAAGAGGCGTCACGTCCAGCAGCACAATGTCCTTCACATCTCCTGCCAGCACACCAGCCTGGACGGCAGCACCGACTGCCACAACCTCATCAGGGTTCACGCTCTGATTGGGTTTCTTCCCGCCAACCAACTCTGAAGCCAAATCCTGGATTGCTGGGATGCGTGTGGAGCCACCGACCAAGACGATTTCATCGATGTCGCTCGGACTAAGTTTTGCATCCTTCATAGCGCTCTCCACTGGCGTCCTGCGTGCAACTTCCCTCTGCAAATCACCATGCACATCATTGTCTTCCTTATTCATGTTTCATCTCCACAAGAAACAAGGAAAAGGATCATGTGCAAAGTCTTGAACCTCGTTCTGTATCCGAGCAGTCCCACTTTCATCATTGTTCTTATCATTCAATCATTCTCGGTTCAACACAAAAAAACCTGGTCCCAAACAGGCCTGCATCGAGTGATGAGCTTGCTTGCAAGCTGCTCAAACTTTGCGCGGGATAAGCTCTCTTCGATGTGCTTGGGACCAGAGGCATCAGCTGTGATGAAAGGCAAAGAGATCTTGGCCTTCAAATCCGATCGGATTCAATCTACACAATCTACAATCCCTCAATTGAACAGATTGGTTTTCTCAGTTTTCTCTTAGTTTCCTTACAGTCTTTTCTTACAGTCTCAGACATCATTGTTCCAAAGTACATGTGGCAACATGTGAATCATGAGTCGTCCCGGCCTCTTGCACGCCTGAAAGCTCCATCTTAGCCTTCTCAGCTGCCTCCGTCAAACGCTGCAGTGCTTGCCGGTCCTTCAGGAGGTCGATGCCCTCAGGGTAACAAACTTCGGACAGAATTTGCGCAATTGAGCCACAGAAAAATGGCCACAGGCTCCTCTCTGTAACACGAAACCCGTTCCGACCTTGGTTTGGAACAGAAACCTTGTGAAACCCTGCGACTTCGGTGAACCTTCCACAAACCTTTTTTGCTTGTCCTCAATTTAAAACACACGGCACCGTGACAACTTCCTTGCCTCAGTCTTCTGAAAGTCCTCAGCCAGCCAGTCGACAATGACCTTGTCAAAGTCGTCACCACCCAGGTGAGTGTCACCGTGTGTGGCCAACACTTCGCACACACCATCACCAACCTCCAAAACGGAGACGTCAAAGGTGCCACCTCCCAAGTCAAACACCAAAATGGTCTCGTTGTTCTTCTTCTCCAGACCATATGCCAAAGATGCAGCGGTTGGCTCGTTCACGATACGCAGCACATCCAACCCAGCAATCTTTCCGGCATCCTTCGTGGCCTGAACCAGCAATGCATTCCAGAGCTTGGCAGTGATGCAATTTAAGAAGTTGAGTACTTGGCTTCAAGAGTGGATTGTCTCTACTAAACCTTGCTGGAGATGCAAAACAGGAGCTGTGGGTAGATCCGGACCACTCATTTCATGCTTGGACATGTTGGGCTGCAAAAGGCAGTTTGCTCTTGATAGTATGCCCGTCTTAGTCTTCTTTCTCACCATGTCCCAAAGTGTACTTTACAATCCAGCCTGACGCTGGGAGTCATTGAAGTAGGCTGGGACAGTCACTACAGCCTTCGTTGATCATGACGAAAGCGAGCAGGGGCCGCTTCATGCACAGGTTGTAAGTCATGCAAACACATTGCATCAGTGACAGAAAAGGATCTGCCCAATGGCCAAACGCTGAGGCAACAGGTAATAATGCAGAAAACACGTCGCAGGTGCTTCGGAAGGGAATACAAAATGACCTTTCTGTGAGAAAAGGGGGTCATTTCGAATGTAGGCTGTCTAACTCTATGTCACCCTTCCAACCGGTCTATTGGCAAGACTTCAATCCACGAAAACAGCTACCGGCATATTTGTCAAATACACTCAAATCACACTCAAAGCACCGGCCTTCTGGACCGTGGCGCTGAGGTACTTGCCGGCGTCTGCGCTCAGCTTTCGCAGCACCTGTGCAGAGACCTCCTCCGGTGCAAACTTCTTGCTCATCACGGGGCAGTCAATCTTCACTTTTTGGCCCTCGAAATCCACCTTGTATGACACCTCCTTCAGCTCTTCCTCCACTTCATTGGGTTGGCGGCCAACAAAGCGCTTCACTGAGTAGAAGGTGTTCTCTGGATTCACCACCGCCTGCAAGAAAAACTCTAGCTGACACTGTCAGAGAAAATGAAAAAAAATGAAAACTGCAAAATTTCAAACAGTGTCTGGCTGAAAGCTAATTCTTTGCTCAGATCGTGAATGACATGCTGACAATACTGTCCTGACGCTTCGCAATCTGGCCCACCAAAAGTTCGCCACTCTTGGAGTAGGCCACAACGCTGGGTGTGGTTCGTGCTCCCTCTGCGTTTGGGATCACGGTTGGAGAACCAGCCTGAAAACTGCAAGAGTTCCAGACCACCAGCTACAAAATCAGCGAGGCTGCTCAACATTCTCCGCACCAACAAAAACAACACGTCTCTCTTGTCAGTGTAAGTGCAGCTGTGAAAACAGATGTGAATCAAATGATCCGTTGTCAAGCTCAATTCACTAACATCTAAACCCGAAAAACGGACAAACACAAGATTTATATAATACGCCACACCTACCCACACACGTCCACAAATGTCCACACATGTCGAGTAGACTCCAGAACCTCCATGGCAGCTACAGCAGAGTTGGTGGTGCCAAGGTCAATGCCAACCACCTTCTCACCAGGGGCCACTTCAGCACGGGCAGTGACCTGAATTTCTACAGTCACAAACCTGTGACAGCTTATCGATCCGGTGTGTCCGGACCTTTGTAATGCCCCTCCCTGAAAAGGTCCCGGCTTTGGATGTTCGCCCCTTTCTTCGGGTCGAAGCAGCCACTGCGCCAGCAGCTGTCATGGCAGCAGCACCAACAGTGAAAGCACTGTTGCCTGAGCACACCGATTCTTTCGCACTCCTTTCAAACTTTTGCCGTATTCACTGCAGGCTGGGAAAGTGCCATCTAGGAACCAATTGTGTGGCCATCTCTGAAGCGCGTCAAGCAACAACAATCGAGAATTAGCGAAAATTCATTGACGTGGTCTCACATCTGACTCTAAGACCCTCGCTGGTCTCTGCAGCGGCAGCCTTCCAGCTCCCCATGGGTCATAGAGGGAAATAATCTGTTGAAGGATGTTGAAGGTACCATGTGGTTGAAATGAGAACCGCACGTTCCAAACACTACGCAAACAATATCCAACAATGTGGCAACAGCCATGCAAGATCACGCAAGCCTTGCCGGCTGCCATCTCAACAGCTGGCACATGACGAGCAACTGATCCTCTCCATGTTTCTTTGTTTCGTGTGTTGCAATTCCTCACTGTCCAATACTGTGCACAAGTCTGGTCACAGTGGGTATGATGGATGGCGAGGGAGGAAAAGCTACCATTGGATTTCTGAGCTTTCCTATAAACGAAGATTGTGTAGCAGCTAGTCTGTTCCACAAACACAAAAACACATCCCTCTCTCCTGGCGTTGCCACAAAAGCCAACCTCGCATCAGGCGACGGTTGAAAGAACACCACGCAGTTTTCAGGACCCAGCTCGTCTCAACTAAGGCTGGGGCCCTCCCAAGCCAGCGCAAGCCGCGGCGGCACGAGCCTTCTTGGACACCATTGCAGACCTGAAGTTTCAGGGATTCCCAAGAGCTCTTGAGATTCAAAGCCTATTGGTCTCTTGAATCTTTTTCCATCTGTTCGAAAATCTGAATCTTCCTGGTTCAAACAACTATTTTCAGCACAGCTTGCAACGGCATTCGAGGCATCGGCCTGCTTCGATGCTTCAGCTAACAAAATTGCCCTAATGCAGGTCTCTGGAACCAAAGTTGCCAGCAGGTACATGGCAAATATGGTACATGAAAAAATCATAGTGCCACGGAGGAGATCATGACTTCCAGGTACACATGGGACGCACGGCTCCAAGTCAAAAAAGGCAGCTGCATCTAGTGTTTTGAAGCGGCGAAGATGGTATGTTCGGCTGCTCAGAAACATATAAATCTCTCACGCTCTGCAGGAAAATGTTCAAAGATTGCACTGTATCGTGTTGCACATTCGCGCTCACGATGATCTGTACCCAACATTGCAGCTCGGGACTGCCGTTGTGCTGTGTGTGTGTGTGTGTGTGCATATGTTAGCAATGCCACCAGAAGTCAATTCTGCGAGTGTCTGTCCCAAGCTGTTTGATGTTTTTTTCTTCAATGCTCAGATTGGAGTAATGCATGAAACATCTTTTTCACAAAACCCAACAACGTTTTCTGATGATTCTGGTCAATGATTAGCTATGAATTCATTAGCCCATGCATATTCCAAGAAATCAGACATTGCTGCCTCACTGTCCATCCACGTCGATGACGTCGTCCTTGGCCTTGGCCTCTGCCTTGGCATCGCCAGGGGGTGGAGATCCTGCCTCAGCTGCATCACCTGGAGGAGGGCTTCCAGTGTTGGCATAGGCGGCCTGGCCAACCTTCATCAGCTTGCCTCTTGCAGGTCCTTCGTCATGGTCTTCAGCAGTTCAGTGTCTGGCTCGGCCTCCCCAACCTTGTCCTTCAAGGCCTGCAACTTGGGGTCAATGGTGGCCTTGGAGGAGGGCTTCCAGTGTTGGCATAGGCGGCCTGGCCAACCTTCATCAGCTCCTCTTGCAGGTCCTTCGTCATGGTCTTCAGCAGTTCAGTGTCTGGCTCGGCCTCCCCAACCTTGTCCTTCAAGGCCTGCAACTTGGGGTCAATGGTGGCCTTGAGGTCAGCAGGCACTTTTTCACCCAGTTCTTGCAGCTGCTTCTCAGTCTGGTACACCAGGCTCTCTGCATTGTTCTTAGTCTCAACTGCCTCCTTGCGCTTCTCATCCTCTGCAGCGTTGGCCTCGGCATCTTGAACCATCTTCTCGACATCTGTCTTGTCCAGGGTGGAGGAACCAGCGATGGTGATGGTTTGCTCCTTGCCGGTACCACGGTCCTTTGCGGCAACGTTCAAGATACCGTTGGCATCGATATCGAAGGTCACTTCGATCTGGGGAACACCACGAGGAGCAGGAGGCACGCCATCCAGACGGAAAGTGCCAAGGATCTTGTTGTCCTTGGCGAACTGTCGCTCGCCCTGCAGCACCACAATCTCGACGGATGGCTGAGAGTCGGTGGCAGTGGAGAAGACCTGACAAAGGTCCAAACTACAGATGGACAAGTGCAAAAGAAATGGTCGACTACAGGTGACCTCAAGAAAGTAAGATGAATAAGTGCCTGTGCAACCCTTTGCTTGTCAACAAGAATAGTGACCCACATTTTTTTTTCTTTCTCCACCGGTATGTGATGATATTGCACGTTTGTTTGGTATCCGTGCGGCCTCCGTCTTCTTGGTTGGGATGGTGGTGTTCCTGGGGATCAACACGGTGGCCACACCACCAAGAGTCTCGACACCCAAAGAAAGAGGCGTCACGTCCAGCAGCACAATGTCCTTCACATCTCCTGCCAGCACACCAGCCTGGACGGCAGCACCGACTGCCACAACCTCATCAGGGTTCACGCTCTGATTGGGTTTCTTCCCGCCAACCAACTCTGAAGCCAAATCCTGGATTGCTGGGATGCGTGTGGAGCCACCGACCAAGACGATTTCATCGATGTCGCTCGGACTAAGTTTTGCATCCTTCATAGCGCTCTCCACTGGCGTCCTGCGTGCAACTTCCCTCTGCAAACCAGCGCGGCAAACGACGGAAAGCATTCAAATATATTTCAAATATCCCGGGTAGCAAACGACCACGGTTCCGCTGTCAAAAAATATATGTAGGTGCAAAAGATATTCAAAGATACGGTCAGACAGATCCCGATACCAACATGATCAATCTTATACAAAGACTTTTCAGTGAGTTTCTCAAACTAGAGAAGAAATCCAGATCCAAAAAACACCAACAAAACATGCCCATACATTGCCCAAAAATCAGCGTTAAGCCAGCGAAGCAGTGCCAAGACAACAAAATTTAAAGAAGAGATGGAGCATGCCGAGCATGCCCTATAATTATGTCATCCCTTTATAAAAGTGTAACTTGCACTTTGGCTTGCCGGCTGCCAGAAGATGCGGAAGAATTCGCATAAAATCTTCAACCGTTCAGTCAAAAAAAAAAACGCGCACGAAAAATCACGCTTTCCCTGGAAAATGCAAAATTGTTTTGGCTGTCTTTCATTTGTTTGGATCAGATTTTGCACTTGTTGACTTTATCACACGCGACGCAAGCCGCCTTTTCCGTATCTAGGCTCCGCCAGTCAGGACAGGAAAAGCGCTGGAGATGTCATGGGCCAAAAGTGTGCAGGATTGCTTGATATTTGGTATTGATGTGTGTTGTGTCTGTGCGCACAAATGCAACACACCATTGAAATATCGACCCATATTGTGAGAGCTCACAACATGCCATGCCACCACCACCAAGACACCCACCAGCAAGAGACCACCCATACACCAAAAGTACCATTCAAATGCCATCGCAACACCAGAAAAATACCTCGCAAACACAACATTCCACACGCATGCCCAAACGCCACCAAGACGCACAAACCCACACTGCACAACAGCATGACAAACGTGACAGACCACAAAGGCAGTGCCCAGACATGTCGGCTCTACAGTCACCGACAGAATTTGGACATGAAAGAAAGGTTCGACATGGGTCGGTAAAAATCTGCCTCGCGTCGGGCCGTATTTTTCCATAATTCTTTTTTACTCATAAAAATGCACACCTCAAAAATCGGTAATAACTTGTATAACGAACCTTTTTGGAAGGGGCGTGACGCGCTGCAGGTAAATTTCCATATATTTTTTTTCCATGTAAGGGTGCTTCTTGGCACTGGACCATTTCCATAATTATTTGTTTCCTGAAAGGGGTGACAAATTTTCTATTGACATGTTTCCATAATTCTTTTGGCCATGGCTACAGTGCATGATTATGGCTACAGTAGCATCAGTGGGAGATGTTTGGAGGACAAGGATCCCAAAACTGAATCTGGATTTTGTCCCAAAATCATGCAAAGTTGCTGTAAACCAGGTAGTTTGGAGGATCAGGACCCGAAAAGTAAGATTTCCAAAATTAATTTTGCATCGTGGATTAGAAGCTTTTGTAGACATGTGTTTCATCCGGTTTTTTGAAGGATCAGGATCCCAAAACTGAACCTGGTTTTAGTCCCAAGATCATGCAAATACGCTGTAAAGCAGGTAGTTTGGAGGATAAGGATAACAAAGCTGAATCTGGACTCAGTTCCAAAATCATGCAAAAACATTCAAAACTAGGTAGTTTGGAGGAAGATTTCCAAAATTAATTTTGCATCGTGGATTAGAAGCTTTTGAAGACATTTGTGTCATCTTTTTTTTTTGAAGGATCCGGATCCAAAAACTGAATCTAGATTTAGTCCCAAGATCATGCAAATACGCTGTAAACCAGCTGGTTTGGAGGATCAGGATTCGAAAACTGAATCTAGATTTAGTCCCAAGATCATGCAAATACACTGTAAACAAGGTGGTTTGGAGGATAAGGATCCCAAAACTGAATTTGGATTCAGTCCCAAAATCATGCAAAAACACTCAAAACCAGGTAGTTTGGAGGGTCAGGATCCGAAAAGCAAGATTTCCAAAATTAATTTTACATCGTGGATTAGAGGTTTTTGTAGACATTTGTATACATTTGTTTCACCCTTTTTTTTGAAGGATCAGGATCCGAAAACTGAATCTAGATTTAGTCCCAAGATCATGCAAATACGCTGTAAAAGCAACTGGTTTGGAGGATCAGGATCCGCAAAACTGAATCTAGATTTAGTCCCAAAATCATGCAAATAAACTGTAAACAAGGTGGTTTGGAGATGTTTGGAGGATCAGGATCCAAAAACAGAATCTGAAAATCATGCAAATTTGCTGTAAACCAGGTAGTTTGGAGGATAAGGGTCCCAAAACTGAATCTGGATGTTGTCCCAAAATCATGCAAATACGCTGTAAACCAGGTGGTTTGGAGGATAAGGGTCCCAAAACTGAATCTAGATTTAGTCCCAAGATCATGCAAATACACTGTAAACAAGGTGGTTTGGAGGATAAGGATCCCAAAACTGAATTTGGATTTAGTCCCAAAATCATGCAAAAACACTCAAAACCAGGTAGTTTGGAGGGTCAGGATCCGAAAAGTAAGATTTCCAAAATTAATTTTACATCGTGGATTAGAGTAGAGGCTTTTGTAGACATTTGTATACATTTGTTTCATCCTTTTTTTTGAAGGATCAGGATCCGAAAACTGAATCTAGATTTAGTCCCAAGATCATGCAAATACGCTGTAAAGCAACTGGTTTGGAGGATCAGGATTCGAAAACTGAATCTAGATTTAGTCCCAAAATCATGCAAATAAACTGTAAACAAGGTGGTTTGGAGATGTTTGGAGGATCAGGATCCAAAAACTGAATCTGGATTTTGTCCCAAAATCATGCAAATTTGCTGTAAACCAGGTAGTTTGGAGGATCAGGATCCGAAAAGTAAGATTTCCAAAATTAATTTTGCATCGTGTATTAGAAGCTTTTGTAGACATTTGTTTCTTCCTGTTTTTTTGAAGGATCAGGATCCCAAAACTTGTAAAGCAACTGGTTTGGAGGATCAGGATCCGAAAACTGAATCTGGATTTAGTCCCAAAATCATGCAAATAAACTGTAAACAAGGTGGTTTGGAGATGTTTGGAGGATCAGGATCCAAAAACTGAATCTGGATTTTGTCCCAAAATCATGCAAATTTGTTGTAAACCAGGTAGTTTGGAGGATCAGGATCCGAAAAGTAAGATTTCCAAAATTAATTTTGCAGCGTGGATTAGAAGCTTTTGTGGACATTTGTTTCATCCTGTTTTTTGAAGGATCAGGATCCCAAAACTGAACCTGGTTTTAGTCCCAAGATCATGCAAATACGCTGTAAAGCAGGTAGTTTGGAGGATAAGGATAACAAAGCTGAATCTGGACTCAGTTCCAAAATCATGCAAAAAATATTCAAAACTAGGTAGTTTGGAGGATCAGGGTCCGAAAAGTAAGATTTCCAAAATTATTTTTGCATCGTGGATTAGAGGCTTTTGAAGACATTTGTGTCATCCTTTTTTTGAAGGATCAGGATCCAAAAACTGAATCTAGATTTAGTCCCAAGATCATGCAAATACGCTGTAAACCAGCTGGTTTGGAGGATCAGGATTCGAAAACTGAATCTAGATTTAGTCCCAAGATCATGCAAATACACTGTAAACAAGGTGGTTTGGAGGATAAGGATCCCAAAACTGAATTTGGATTTAGTCCCAAAATCATGCAAAAACACTCAAAACCAGGTAGTTTGGAGGGTCAGGGTCCGAAAAGTAAGATTTCCAAAATTAATTTTACATCGTGGATTAGAGTAGAGGCTTTTGTAGACATTTGTATACATTTGTTTCATCCACTTTTTTTTGAAGGATCAGGATCCGAAAACTGAATCTAGATTTAGTCCCAAGATCATGCAAATACGCTGTAAAGCAACTGGTTTGGAGGATCAGGATCTCAAAACTGAATCTAGATTTAGTCCCAAGATCATGCAAATAAACTGTAAACAAGATGAAGCCCACGAACCCGAATGCTCACACGTATGTTAATGGTACAGATGTCAAAACACATGGTTATGCAGTCACGCACAATATCTTTCTGCAATAGTTTATATTTGAACAGTCTTGTACATGTTTCCCTTGTTACCAGTCTGCAGTGTGGGGTGGAAAGTGTAGAGTGCGGAGTGTGGAGTGTGAAGTGAAGTAAGGAGTGTGGAGTGTAAAGTGTGGAGTGGGGAGTGTAGAGTGTGTAAAGTGTAGAATGCGGAGTATAAAGTGTAGAGTGTGGAGTATGGAGTGTAAAGTGTAGAGTGTGGAGTCTGGAGTGTACAGTGTGGAGTGTAAAGTGTGGAATGGGGAGTGTAAAGTGGAAAGCGTGGAGTGTAAAGTGTAACGTGTGGAGTGTAGAGTGTAGAGTGTGGAGTGTAAAGTGTGAGTGTGAAGTAGTGTGGAGTGTGGAGTGTGGAGTGAGGAGTGTAAAGTGTGGAGTGTGAAGTGTGGAGTGTAAAGTGTGGAGTGTGGAGTGAGGAGTGTAAAGTGTGGAGCGAGGAGTGTAAAGTGTGGAGTGTAAAGTGTGGATTGTGGAGTGAGGAGTGTAAAGTGTGGAGTGTGGAGTGTAAAGTGTGAAGTGTAAAGTGTGGAGTGTGGAGCGTAAAGTGTAGAGTGTGGAGTCTGGAGTGGAAAGTGTAGAGTGTGGTGTGTAGAGTGTGGAGTGTGGAGTGTGTGAAGTGTAAAGTGTGGAGTGTGGAGTGCAAAGTGTGGAGTGTGGAGTGAGGAGTGTAAAGTGAGGAGTGTAAAGTGTGGAGTGTGGAGTGAGGAGTGTAAAGTATAAAGTGTGGAGTGTGGAGTGCACAGTAAAGTGTGGAGTGTGGAGTGCGGAGTGTGGAGTGGAAAGTGTGGAGTGTGGAGTGTGGTGTGTAAAGTGGGGAGTGTGGAGTGAGGAGTGTGTAAAGTGTAAAGTGTGGAGTGTAAAGTGTGGAGTGCGAAATGTGGAGTGGAAAGTGTAGAGTGTGGTGTGTAGAGTGTGGAGTGTAAAATGTGCAGTGTGGAGTGTAGAGTGTAAAGTGTAGAGTGTGGATTGTAGAGTGTAAAGTGTAGAG